TTGCTTGAGAATCCTGGAGAATAGGTTACACCAATTTTACCATTGTCTATGAAACCAAGCTGGAGAGGACATCTGATGAACAGCCAGAAGCAGAATTGTCAAGTGATGAAGAGGCATTATCATAGAGTGTCTTATTAAAGACTTTTCCCAGTGTCATCTGTTTCCTTAACACAGGTTTCTGTCTAAGCAGTTTCTCTCTAATTGAGTAAATTGCCATGAGCTCTTGCTCACTGATAAATGCACATTGTTGAAGGCCAGCAATTAATTGGTCACACATTTTAGCCATATGATCTATGGAGATTTTTTCCACTTGTGTTCACAATGTCATCATCATTACTACTACTATCTTCATACTGATCTGTATTTAACACCATCTCGGCAATTTCCCCACTCAAAGGATGCACAATGGGTGCATAATTATCAATGTTTAGCATCTCTTCAATGTCCGCTTCTTCTAACTTATTTACACTTTTGGCTAATAAGCTTTTGGCATAAGTAATGAGCTTTGATACCATCGTCTTCTCATTAGAGTCTTTAAATCCTTCAAAATCTTTATCAGCAAGGTCATTTTCAAACATCATTGTAGCCCAAAGTCTATGCCAAGCATTGGTTAAGGTTGACTTATCCACGTTGTTCCAACCATTAGCAACTGTGTAGATGGCATCCTTAAGACTAAATTCTTTAAGGAAGTCCTGGATTTTCAGGCCTCTGTTAACTGAAGCAAGCATGCTATTCAAAAAAAAGTGTTTGTATTTGCTCTTCATGGAACGTAGAATTCCTTGGTCACAAGGCTGAGTTACAGATGTCACACTGGGGGGAAAGTAAATGCCCAAAACATTACTTTTCACAAGAAGTTCAGGAGGGGGATGAGCAGAACAGTTGTCTAGAAATAATAAAATTTTGCAATTGTCTTCCAGTCCAGCTTGTCTGCAATGAGCTTGTGCTGCAGGCACAAAGTGTTTATCGAACCAGTCAGAAAAGATTTCTCTTGTTACTGAAGCTTTCTTGTTTGCATAATATTGCACAGATAAATTGTGCACACCTTTTAAACATCTTGGATATAGGCTTGTTCCAAACACTGCCAGTTTTATCTTATGTGTGCCTGCAGCATTAGCATTAGTTAACCTTTGCTTGGTATCCTTGCAATCTGTTGTTGCCCTTTCGTCACCCATTGTTAAGGTTTTTCTAGGAAGGTAGCACCAGTACAGAGCTGTTTCATCAGCATTGTAAATTTGTTCAGGGCTAAGGTTTTCATTAGATATTATCTTAGCGAATTCATCAATGTAATTTTCAAGAAGTTCATGATTAGCAGAAGTTTTTTCACCACAGATTTTAAGATACTTGATACCATGATGTTTTTTAAATTTCTGTAGCCAGCCTTCTGAATATTCACACTCACCTTCAATATTCAGTTCTTCATGGTATATTCTAGCTTGATTCATGACCAACAAACCAGTCAGTGGAATGTCTTTATTTCTTTGTTGCTGAATCCATTCAATCAATACATGGTCAAGATCTTCATTTTTGGCCCTATGCAATGTTTTCCTATTTTTCATTAGTTCTTGGTTATCACTGTCACTGTAAAATTTCAACAATTTGTCTTTCTGTTTCTTTAAGTCATATACAGTGGTGGTTCCCACACCATATTCTTCAGTAAGACACTTAACAGACACACCACCATCAAGCTTCTGTAGTAACTCCACTTTCTGAGCTATTGATAAAGACAGATGCTTCCTTTTCTTCTTTTCGCTGTTACCCATAGGTATATCTTTAACTCTTTTGGACATTTTCTAGTGCAATTAATTAATCCCTAAGTCACAAAATGTCAGCAAACAGCAGAGGCATGTGTGACTGATGGATATAAATGCCGAGACAACAGAGGCTTCACGTTTTTGTTCACAGTAGGATTTGTTGCCAAATGGTCCCAGTGTCAAAGTTAAAAAAACACTTTTGGGTTTCAGTGTTTTTCTGTTTCTGTTTTTTTTCTTATTTTGTAATTGCGGAGTAGAGACTGTGGACCTGTGTTAAAAATATCATTTTAACGATGAAAAGACTGAGGCTCAATTAGTACCTTGCCCAAGGTTATGCAACTATTATTAAATACTTTTCTGCTTATATTCAGTCTCCTAAAATTTGGTCACTTTACCAGAGAGAAGAAATTTTTTTGGTATTATTTGCCAAGATGATTTGAGTTGGAGTATTTTTAGCAAAGGAATCTGATACTCATGGCCATTTGACTGACATAGTCAGTAGTTGAGTTCCATGCTGGATAACATGGAGATGCCTTGGCAAGAAGTTGAAGTTCCTAAATTTACAGTCATTGAATATAGATTTTTCTTTTTGTACCAAATGATGTTTGGTGCTTATTTGCCTAGTTACTCATTGCTCCACAATGAACAATCAGGGAAAATAAAAGAGCTCATTTCAGATGTCCCAAACACTCCCACAAATTTTCCCTAAATATCCACTCATTTTGTTTGCTTGTTTTTTAACTGTTCTGTAAATTGCACATCCCGATTGTGACTCAGATTTATTGTTAATCAAGTTCAGCATTAAAACACATTTTAGACAGTCTAATAAACTGTTTCCTTCAATTTGGAACTTAGAATTCATTAGAATTTTTAATGATTTTTAAGCTTCTGTGGTTTCATGTACTCTTTTATAAGTTCCTACTGGAACTTTTCTTCCTCATTCTTATCATCCCCATTATTTGTTTAGATCTTGATGAAATGTCTAATATGAACTATCACAAAAGCCTAAAGACTGCTGATTCAGTCCTAAGTCTTTCTCTCTTTTCCTATTGAGTGTAAAAGCGGT